CAGAAAGGGAAATTAACTAGTTTATTTCATGACTCAGCTCTGAATAGCATATGCAGTCATAATAATGCAAAAAACTGAATATTGATCTACCCAAAATTATCACCTAACCATATTGGAAGGGCAGGGGAATGAGGAGTGATGTGTAGGATGGGCATGGCAGAGGGGGAGGAGCTAAACATCTTCCCTAGAGGAAAGGCAAGGCAGAGCTTTGCAGAGGGGGTGACGCACATCCAGGTGTGCTCTTTAGAGACATGTAGGTAAATACCAAAAAAATCATCTAAGACCTGAAAATTGCTGCCTTAGAGAAGGAGAAAAGGGGCAGTCCTCATAAGGCAACCTAGCTCTTGGCATGCACAAATAATTTTAATTTAAAAACTAAAAAAAAAAAAAAAGGTTTTAATTAAAATAAAAATTAAATTTAAAAAAATACACTACCATTCCTACTCCTCCTATTTAAGGATTTCTTGAAAGGCTGAATAAACATAGGACTTTTCCCTGCTTTTCAGCCTTGGGAGTAAGTTCTTTGGAAGCTATTCTAGGCAGATAGGCACCAGCCTATACGCAGAGCTCAGAAAAGCTCAGAAAAATTGGGGATAGATAGGAACTGAGACGGAGCTGAAACCTTAGCAGTCATACCTGACTCATACCTTCTTATACCTCAGCAGGTTTCCAGATCTCTCTGGGCTTGACAGATGGGGGAAAAGTGCAGTCGGGGTGGGGCTATGCAAAGGCCATCTGGCTGCAGGAGCCCTATACTGGGGAGGTGGGAAGAGGCCAGAGTGGCAAGGTGGCCCTGGTCACCACACCTACCTCGAGACCATGAGAGTAGGCCCCACTGCTGGCCATCCCTATGGACACAAAGACAGATCTGGGAAACTAGAAACCCGAGTCACACCATGCTACACTTATCCGTGTTTACAGAAAGCAAGATCATTATTTACAAGAACAGAAACATTCAGCTAATTTACTTTCAAATACACCAAAGAGGAGCAGCAGACAAAAACCCCAGAAACTTCTGAGTGGAAAAAGGGCCCTGGATGCCGACCTAGCAGGGCATGTTGTCAGTAGGCCTGTCCTGCTACCCTCTGCTACCTGGGACACTCTCTCGCTTTATTCTCTGCTGATGGGCAGTCCCTTCCGGATAGTAACAACCCCACTTTTTCCATGACCGAAACCCAAGTTAAGAAAACAGAATTTCCTTCCCAGACCACTCAAGCCCTTGTGCCTCATTATATCAATACCCAGACCTCCCTGGGGCCCAGTGCTCAAAGCCTATTTCAGAGACGAGTTCTGGGCAATGTGAGTCACACCACCACTGTGTCCTTGAGGCTGCAAAGGACACAGGCACACCGGCCCCACCTCCCAGCCAGCCTCTTCTTGCTCATTTTGAGAAGCAAGATTTCTACTTTGTCCACGATCAGAAAGACACAGAAGGACCCTTTAATCCTAGGTCTAAATCCCCAAAAGCTAGTATGAGGACTAAGAATGGGTCAGTGACAAAGTTCTTGACAACAGGTGACAAAGGGAGAAAAATAAGGACACAAAGAGATGTATATGGCCAAAAACTATTCTTGCTTCTGCAATTAGATGCTTCTTACATTTTTCCTTTAAAATTAACATTTTTTAAAGATGAAATGATGGTGATTATGGATGACATTTTTAAAAAAATGTCCTCACTTGGCAAAAGTGAAAGTTGGCATCTCTAGTCCCTCCTCAAAAAGAAAAAAAAAATGTATTTTTGAATAAAAAGTCTGGAACATACTGTGGTAAAAGCACAACACAAAAGAGACTAAGCCCAAGCCTTAGGGCCCTAATCACAGCCTCAGAGGGTGAGGAGGGAACTAAAGCACCATTCTAATCTCCTGTAATCTCCTGCTGACACCTAAGTATGCCTGAACACTTCTCAGTGACTAGGAGCTCATACCCTCTGTATATAGCTCTCTCTGACACTTAGTGTTGCCTTGTATTGTTGAGAAACCTGTGCCTTATCCTTGGACCTGAACTTGGACCTGGGACCACTTGGAGCAAAAAGATGCCTTCCACTTACAAGAAAACAGGTGCCATGACCTCCAACTCCCACCCACTCATCTTTGGCTGGGGATGTTAGTTTCTTCCCACTCTAATCATTCTTCTTGTGAAGTGACTTGCCCAAGATCACACAGCTTGCCAGTGAATTTGAATCCAGTTCTTCGGTGCCCAGTTCTCTACATGGGGCAGTATATCAGGGTCCTCAGTTCATGAGATGGTTCTGGCTGTTGCAGACCAGTTGGAAAAGTGACAAAGAAACCAAAGTAGGGGGAGAAAAATCAACATATAAAAAAGTCCCAGAGATCCCAATAAACATTTATATATATACATAGAAAAAAGTCTGGATGGAAATAAGCCAAAATGGCCATGGCAGTCATCTCTTGAGATACGGTAATAGATGATTCTTATCTTATTTTTGCTTTTCTGTGTTTTCCAGTTTTTCAACAGTGAATTGGCTCTGATTATACAAATAGAATAACACATGAAATAATGACCAGTTAGAAAGATTAAAAAAGGAAAGTAAATTAAAGTTGCATGACCCAAGACCCGGTTTCCCAGCCACCCTCCAACCAACAAGCCCTGAGGAAGATCTCGGACTGGTCTATGGACGTGGGCCACCCCTAGGAAGAGCGGGCCTCACCCCATCTATCCCCCCATCTTGTCACCTCTCGCTGCACTCTTACACCAACTGGACTCCTCTGAAATGGAAGAGAGGAGTAGGTGGAGGGCGTGAAGAAGGGTGCAGAGGATAAAAGTTCACCCCACTGGGCCCCATACCCAGCACAAGGTGTTCATGTTGATCTATGGACGGGCAGATGTAACATACATGGACTGTGATAGTGCTGGGTGGAGACTGGCCTGCTGGTCCTAGCCTGGTGCATCCTCCTTTGGAGCTCAGAACAGAGCCCCCAGGCCCTGCTGGGACAAGCCTGTTGCTGGAGGATGTTGTGTTAGAGTCACATCTCACCTACGTGCTCCATGTCACCCACTAGGGCAGGTTGTGGCTAGGTCCTCCCCTTGGATCTCCAGGGCCCTTGGCAGACCCAGGCACATGGTCAGCACTCAGCCAAGCCCTGATTAGAAGTAGAGGCTCTGCATTGGGGGGAGTCCTGCCTGACTCCCCCAGAGCTATCACATGTCCTTGGACAAGTTGTTTCTCTCTTGGGGCCTCAGTTTCCCCATCAGGGTGAGGCTCATTTGGCAGGGATTAAACTAAGTGGTCTCTATGTTTCTTTCAAGCTTTAATAGGAAAGTCAAGGACTGACCAGTGACATGCCCCCCACCCTGGGGTGAACAAAGCTTCAGTTGAGCCTGTGTGCTATCCCTGGCCCGGGGTCCCTTAGGCAATGGTCTAGGTCTGAGAGAAGCGCCAGCTGCTGTATGTGCGTACTGGAGAACATGTGTGCGTGCGCATGTGTGCATGTGGGGTGGGCGTAGCTGTGTGTGGAAATGTGTGAGTGTAGGCCAGGCACAGAGGGGAGTGTGCGTACTGGGGGGGTATCAGGGGGGCCCCTGTTTCGTTTCTGCCCTGAGGATTCTACCTCTTTTGCTTCCAAGACCCCAACTTCTCCCAGCTTCCCTCACCCCACTGCCCACCCCCTTCTCATTCTTTTATCTTCTCCAATTCCTGCCTCTACTTCAAGCCCCAGCCTATACTCTCTCTCTGTCTCTACCTCTGCCCTAACAAGGCCTGTTACTTAGGAGAGGCTGTGTAGCTGCTGGTTGAATGACTACACGTGCGTCCTGTCCATGTCACTCGCTCACAAGCCAGCCCCCTCCTCCTGGGGTCCTCAGGCCCCTTCTAGGCAGTGCTCACAGTCCTCAAAGAGAGGCCACCTTATTCTACATAGAAATGAGGATGGGCACTCACTGCACAATGATAAACTCAAATCATTACTCTGCAGAGATGCAAATGAAAAATAGTATGGCCTGACATGGCCAGGATTTGTTAGCCTGACATTGCCTTTCCATGTGATGCACAAATTTTAATTAAAATCTCAAGAGTGATTGTGGAGTCTTTTTATTGTGCACCTCTGGGCTCATCTAGGCTCCCCCAAGGGCAGGGCAGGAGCTCTGCATAGCAGGGACAAAGTCTCACATAACTTGGGAGGTGGGGGGGCTCCAACACCTTTTGCACTGCCCATTAGAGTGCCAGGGGCCTTAGAGAGAACATGGAAACTCCCAGCCTCCCCTAGCACTGCGTCCATTTTACAGGTGAGGAAACTGAGACCCACTGAAGTGTGTTACACAGCACTCACCCATAGCAAGGGCAGGGTGTGTGTGTGTGTGAGGGTGTGGGTGTGTGTGGCTCAGCCCACTGTTTAACAAGAAACTCTAGGTCAGGGAGGGCTAAACTTAGGGAGACATGAGGAGAGGGAGGACAGCAAGAGCAGAAACACGAATGCCCTTCTTTCTTGCAGTCACACCTGGAGATGGAATAAAGCAGGTTGGGAGGACAGGCCCAGGCTCTAAGTCTTGCTCCTCCTGGCTTCTCAGGGAAGAATTGGAGAAAATTCTCAGTCCCTCAGGAAAAGCCCGGGTCCACTGAGGCAGCCCTAGCAGAAGAGAAGGGCTGAGGGGCTGAGTAGATGGCTGAGGCGGCATCCTGGCTTCCCCCGGGCCTTCCCACTTGCCCACTTTGAGGCCCAACAGAGAGCAGAAAGAAATGGCTGGTGTGAAGGCTGCTGAGGTGAGGGTCAGACAGCCACAGGGCAGGCAGACCACAAGCTGAAGTTCAAAAGGATCACAGGCCCAGTGAGCAGCAGGGTGGGCGAGAGCCTCTAGCTGGGGCCTTCTGCCTGGTGCAGGAGGGAGGGAGGGCAGAGCGGGTGGGGAGCATTCGGGAGCCAGGTGCCGCTAGGCCCCCTGCCCGGAGGTTCAAGAGCCTCTTAAGTGAAGTGAGGCTGGCCTCCCACAGCCCCTCAGCAGATGCCAGAAACGCAGCCTTCACCCACCCACCGCCCCGGACTCACCCGCAGGGCTGGCAGGGAGCGGACCTGGTCCATGGTCAGTGTTGCCTCCTTGTAGTACTTCCCAGGAGGGCAGAGCTTCAGGAAGGTGTCATGGATGCTGAGGACAGAGAGAAGAGCCATGGCCACACAGGCTAGGAAAGGGGACCACAAGCCTCTCTCCTGAGGGGAACAGGGGTCTCTGTGGGGAAGAGGCTCAGGATTGACTGACATGGACAAGGCAGTAATACATCTCTCTACCCTTCTAGAAACATCCCTGGGGCACTCCAGTGTGCCTGGCACACCACAGGGGCTGCAGAGGTGAGCCAGGGGTAAGGAAAAGTATGTGGACGTGCTTGGTCACCTGGAACATTCTCTACGAGTGGTAGTTGTGGAATGTCAGACTGGACAGGGCTTCTGTCATCACTAAGTCCTGTCCCTCAGCTACAGATAGAGAAACCAGCAGGGCTTCGGGGAAGCCAGGGTCCCCACCTCTGGCCATCTGCCCAGCTCCACCCTCAGCCCAGAGAAAAGAGGTCACTTGGCGGGCCTGGGCGAGCCCGGATTAGAACTCGGCTGCCTGCAGCCGGCAGACCACAGAGCCTCACTAGGCCACTTGGCAGCAAGCTGGTTCCTGCAGATTGAGGACTGAGCAGTCTTCCTAATCGTCCCTGTCATCGATGTTTCTGTGGGTCCCCACATCACACCAGGGGATTTTGCTTGTAAGTGACAAGCAGAGGCAGAAATGATTGTGTGACCCCAGAGAGGAAGAGGACAGGAGGAAGCTCCACTCCAGGCCAAAGAGAACAAGCTGTCCCCTCACTCTGTGCTGGACAAAAGTCCCTGCCCAGAAGCAAGCTCTTGGGTCTGTAGGACCAAGGCAGCCAGTGGAGAGGAGAGAGAGGATGAGACCTGATGGCCTGAGACCTGTGGCAGGGCTGTGTGACCTCGGGTGGCTTGCTCAACACTTCTGAGCCCTAGTTCCACCATCTGGATAAAGGAAAACGATGCCGCTCTCAGAGCGTTCAGTGTAAAGGAGATGAAGTGCTGTGTGGCACGTGCACTTGTGGTGGGGGCAACCACAGGCTGGTTAAAACACTGTCTCTAGAGCCAGACAGACCCAAGTTCAAATCCTGACTCTGCCACTTAACAGTTCTGAGACCTTGAACAGGGCTCTGAATCCACCAGAGCCTCAGTCTCCTCATCTTTGCAGTGGGGGTAATGAATCCCTCTGAAATGCTCACGAGGTGTGTGGCATGCAGAGTGCT